TCGATCGCATTCAGCCAGGCAATAAAATCACTTGTACCTCATACCATTCAATTATTTCAATAACGAATGTTGATTCAGATTAGAGATAATTTTCATTTTTTATTTTTTAGGCATAATGTTTATGTAATATTCACACTCACTCGTGATTATAAATACAAAAAATATATCAGTAAATACAATCTCTTTATACGAACGAATTATATTAAATTTCATCATTTATATAAAAATATTATACAATATTATTTTTCTGTTAAATTTAAATAGTTTAATGGTTTTACTTGTACCTTGTACTTCAAATAATTTACAAAAGAAGAACAACCTCCAAATATTAAAATCGAAATTATCTATATTATGCCGTTACAATTCTTATTTTTATAATTATTACAGCTACACGCTCTGAGGCAGTTAATGCAAGGGGACGAAAAACAGCCAAACGCACCGCTTGCAAATAATTTTAGACCACCGCAACCCCTTCATCATCGTCCCGTTCGGACAAACATTGATTTCAATGTTCAGGTATGCTATAATAGCGCAATATGTATCTTTTCTATTACAAAAATGATCTCGCTAATCTTTATATCATATTTTCAGGGTCCGAAGAATTGTCCGACGATGAACAGGGACATATATTACAAAGGTATTAAGCAAACTCGATCAGACTCATACAGATCAATAAAATAGAGAGTTAATACATACATTTCTTTTTTTTTTTTTAATTACGAGAATTTTTATTGGGTTATTATTAGAATCTCTTTGCCTAGGAGCTGTCACAGTTTTATACGTAAAAACGCATAATTTTTCTCTGATAAATTATTCCATATTGTATATCCTTTCAGCCAATAGCTGGAAATAATACCCAGCACTGCCGTGAGGTGATTGACATTCGCAGTAACTACGCTTCTCCCCGGAACGAGCTGGAACTTCGCTGTAAGGAAAAAAAAATTGACATATCAATTACAGGCGGGATGACGCCGAGTCACAAAAAAAATTACGGCAGATAGAACGCGCGAAGAAGACGACCATCGACGCCCATGTTGAGGTCGACATAAAAAAAATGCTTCGTTGTACTTATTAGACGTGAATTGCCAAGTATGTTTCCAGTTAAATCAGAAGAAGAAAAACCAAATATACCTATAGATCACAAGTTAGACGAGATAAGCTAATCATAAGATCTATTATTATATATATATCGGTAAACTATCGAAAAAAAAAGCTATGACTATCGTGGCCTGCGCGAGGGGTTGAGAGATGCAATTATATGTATAAAAATTCACGCGCAACGGAGAGCGCTATTGCGAGCAAAAGTTTATACTATATTCTTGTAATAAAAGCTTGAAAAAACGCAGAAAATGAGACATTCCCCGGTAGTTTTGCTCGATTTTTCCTCTACCCATCAATTAGCCGCTCTCTCCTACATAAAGAAATCAATTCTTCTTATCCTCGCAAAATCCGTCTAAACAATATTTATTTGTTGATAATATATATCCTAGCATTATTTTTAATAAATATTCGAAATTTCGGTTGAATTTTTTCATCATCTTCGCTGATTAGAGACTGTTGCACATTTTGCTATTATCGATTGATATTCCTCACGGATTTTCTTATCTAAATAATAGTCTCTACTCTTCAATATTGTTAGTGACTTCGAAGCAGTTTGCTATCTGCAAAGTAGTGATGTTACTGATAGGTCAAAGTTAAAGTTTGCAGAGAGACTTGAACTGAATATCGCGAGTGCACCTAGTCGATAACGCAGAATTCGCGAGCAAAACCCGGTTAATCCTAGCTCGACGTTCAAACGGCAGCCTTAACGTCGCGGCTATCCGAAGGGAAAATCGATTTCTCTTCGACGTAGTTGCGCCTGCACCAGGCAGACCATTATCAGCTTTCAGCGGATTCCGCGCTGTCGCGCCTCTATCGCTTTACGTCCTTGTTGTAACCGCGATTCCACTGAGGTACGCGAACTACGTAGAGCAATCTTCTCGGAATCCTTGCCTCATCGCGAGGGACCAAGACGCACCGAAGAAAAGTCTCAAAGAATGTCTCGAAGAAGCAAATGGGAGGGGGGTTAAATGTAGGAAGGGGAGGATATTACTATCATTGAACCGCTACCCAGAATTCGACGGTGCTGCCCGCAAACGACTATGCGACTAGGAAACCGGAAAGGGTGAACGCACACACAGCGGGGGTGTAGTGAGGGAGGAAGAGGGAGGATAGAGAGGGAAACGCAAAGTGGGAAGGTTCGTGAGAGAAAGAGAGAAGAGTTTAAGCGGGGGTGGAAGGCGGAGGACGCAGAGGAGAGGGCGCCGCGTGCGCGAGAGGGACGGGTACGCGGATACAGATCCGTCGTGTCGGTGGCCGCTGCGGCAAATCTGCGGCTCTCCGCGGCCGTTCGTCGAAAGACTGAGAGTGACGTGTTATCAGGGCACCCGGCCTGGATTTGGGTGCCGGCGCGCTGTTTCGCAATCCTTCAATCGGTCGCCTTGGTGTGTGTCTCCCGGAAACCTAAGGCCGTATCTTTTCCCCCCCTCCCCCTTCCCCCTCGAAGGAGACCAAGAGATGATGGGCGCCGATGATGAAACGATCTCCGCGCGATCTCTGTCACGTCCCTCGCGCAATCCAGCAGAGATCGAATTTCACCAGAGCGACTTGTGCGGATACCCGTTGTCGCCGAGGCTCCGCCGGTACAGAGATTAATTGATCGCCGAAGAGAGGAAAGCATTGCAGGACATCGATGTCAGTCGACGACCTCATGGCGCAGGTGGGGGGTGTTCTCTCGTGAGAGCGAACACGGAGAAGTTTACGACGGAGTAGTACGCGCGATAAGAAAAAACGTCGACAAGTGCGTGTATAATAGCGACGTCGGAACGCATCGCCATTTGTTTCGAAGGGAAAAAGAAACGAAATAGAACGTTCTTCGTTCACTCTTTCACCCCTCGCAGGGAATATTCCGACGCTGAGAAACACATCGTGTACGCGAAGGTCGTTCGTCTCAATTGATCTCTCGGTACGCAACCGTGGTGGTGTAGTAGACGACAAAGTTATTGCGCGAAGTCGCTGGACCGCGGAGCGGTAAGTTGCGGAGAGAACGACTGCGCGACATGGAGTCGATGGAATTCCAAGGGTGTGGGGCACAGTGTACGTTCGTCTTTAAGGTCGGTGGGAAGCTGTAAGCGGTCCCGTGATTGGTTAAACGCGTCCGCGGGATTCTTTTTCGCCCTGTTACACGCGCTAATTCGAGTCCACGAAGCGAGTTTACGTGTTTGAGGTAAACTGATGAGGGCCTGCGGTTGATGGCCGACCGACATCGCGTTCGTCAGGTCAGCCAAAGATCGGCTAACACCGCAGAGGAAAGAGGGAGCAGCGGGGGGGGGAAGCCGGAGGGAGGCCAAAGGGGATCTCAGTTGATCGGCGAAGTTCAGTACCGCGACCGACGTCGCTAATTCGCGCGACGAGGTACCTCGACGACGTACCTCACGAGCTAGATGGACTCTAGTAAACTGAAACTACCCCTACTGCCCGCCGTCAATTCGACGAGAAACTTTCGCCCAACTCAATTACGCTGCAACCGTGTCATATTCCGCGCCTGCGAAAGCCAGAGGAAAGGTGACACCGACCTACTCTTCGCCGCAACTCGGCAGACTCGTGTTCCATGAAAGAGCTAATTGTGATACTACGAACGCTTTGGGGGGAGGGGGGGGGGGAGGGAGGAGGCGGAGGAGGAGGCGGCATGTTAGTAGCACCGTTAGCGGATTCAGCAATTAATATGGCGAGACAGGCATATTCCGTCGTTGATTAATATGCTGACCGCGTAGACGAGCACCGAAGCGGGATTTAAAATTCATATCGCTCGCATAATCGATAGTTTGTCACGCGCGCTCTCTTTCTGATTTCGATTCTACTTATGTGCGAGCTGCATATTAAATAAACAGCAACGTGTGCGATCGTCGCAAATGGGAGACTTGTCCTGGTACCTCAGACGCGAGTAAGTGTATTCCACTCCCGACGCCGGTGTGTAATAACGTTAAGAATATAATTTATATGAGACTCGTAATCTTCTTCCAGATTATAAGTCGCAGCGGTTATAAAGGAGAGTGGCTGGACTGGCTTACGGTCCGCGCGCGCTTATGGCGCTCACTTAATCAGGATGAGCTTTGAGAACTCGCTGACAATGCTGCTGGCGCGACGGAACCTGGAGAACTGGTCTGGCGAAATGAATACCCCTGAGAGAAACAATGGAAGCGTCCACGCGAGCATGACGGCCTCATTCGGTGTCGCGGACGGCACGCTTAGACGGCCAGAAATGAGACTCTTGAGTAAGACTGAGAAACTTCTCGTCCGTAATTCTGTTTCCTCCCTTTTGTTCTACTCGCGCAATGCTGCCCGACATTTCCGCACGCATTCCGCCCTGTCATTCGTTTTAAATAGTTTATACGAACTTTCACGCGCACGTGTAAAAATGTAGCTTTTGCATTTTAAATTCGTCTATCAATATAGATGCTAGAAATCAAGAATTGTGATTAACGATCGTTTCGTATTAGTTCTTTCTTACAGCTCGAGATAGTTCTCCTCTAATCTGTCACAAGCCATCTGTTATTCCAGCAATGTAATATTTCTCCTTTTATGCGCGACATCTTTTGTAGGCCGCCGCGTCCTATTCTTCTGCCTATATTAAATTCCTATTTTCCGGTAGTGATAGCAGTTCGCGCTCGCTTCCTACTCGTATCTAACGATATCTGACGACTATAAATTTGACGCGACGCAAGCACGAACCTTTGATGGGATGCCGCGACAACCGCAAAGTATTGAGTACACAAACAATCGATTACGCTGATGCGAGGCCTTTGTTTTGCAGGTCGTCAGTGAAACGGAGAACTGTTGTCGTCGTCGTCGTCGTTACTGTGTTGCGGTGGAGCCAGCTGCCTGTTCTCGCCTCAAGGCGAGAAGAGGATCAGACGGGAGATCAGTAGACATCGGGTGGACACCGATAAAAGGACGGTGTTATGTTAGTGACAGGGCCTCACCCTCTAAGAGGGCACATATTACTCGCCCTCTTCCTTTTAACGGGGTGTTTCGCTTTGCTGTCACGGGCGGCCGCTTTCCCGGACTGGACCGACTGTCCCGCGGTTTGCCGATGCAAGTGGACCTCCGGCAAGAAGTCCGCTTTGTGTCCGGACGCCGGCTTAACGTCGCTGCCGGCATCCCTCGATCCGGACATGCAGGTGCTCGACTTATCTGGCAACAAGATACCTGCTCTGAAAGAGGAGATATTCAAGCTGGCCGGCCTGGTGAATCTGCAACGGGTCTTTCTACGTAATGCCGGCATCTACAGTATCCATGCGGACTCTTTCAAAGATATGAGAATACTTATCGAGATCGATCTGTCGGACAATCACGTGACAACCTTAGAGCCGAATACATTTCTTGGGAATGAGCGCCTGCGCATTTTGATACTTAGCGGAAATCCACTCGGTACTTTGCGTAATCTACAGTTTCCTGTACTACAGCATCTGCGAAATTTAGAACTGCAACGATGCTCCTTGACTGAAGTACACGGACAGGCCTTTGCCCGGCTAACCGGATTAGAATTCTTAAAGTTGGATACTAACCAACTGGAATATTTAGAATCCTCGGTGATATCTGGTTTATCTCGTTTGAAAACTTTAACGCTGGATGGCAACCGATGGAGATGCGACTGCAGACTACGAGATTTCCGCACCTGGCTCATCCCCGACGTACCCAGCAAATTGTATTCCGTGCCACAAATCTGCTCAGGTCCACCGAGATTGGAAGGCCGCAGATGGGAGGACGTGAAACCTACTGAATTTGCCTGCGAACCAAAAGTATTCGTTTTGGCGAGCAGTATACAAGAGGAGACCAACGGTAACTTCAGCTTGGCGTGTCGGACGAGCGGCGATCCCGAGCCGGAAGTTTGGTGGCAATTAAACGGCGGACCAGTCAATACTACCAAATCAACTGATCAACCCTACATGGGGACTCTCGTCATTTACGCGACGTCCGAGGCTGGCGTGTCTTCCAACGACAAGTCTGCGTCCCGAACCGTCGGTGATCGATGGAGTAATCTGACCGTTTACAATGCCAGCGACAGCGACGCCGGCGAGTACGCCTGTTTTGCGAAGAATATCGCTGGTCTCGCGCGAGACACGGTCAACGTGGCGATACCTCGTGTTTATACGGCCCCAACACTCTCTCAGAGCGACAACTGGCTGCTCTGGGTAAGTCTGGCTGGAGGCGGCGCGGCTGCCGCGTGTGCTTTCATCTCGGCCGTATTGCTGATACTTTGTTTGTGCGGTGGAAACCGACGGCACAGTAAACGGGAGAAGGTGAAGCTGCAAGGCAGCAGCAGTTTCGGCGATCAGGAGAAGAAGTTGCTAGACCTGTCGGTGACCACCACCACGACGCCCGGCAATAGTAACGATCGCGGCAGCGGTCACAGCAGCATCGGCGAGGCGTGTAGCACCGGTGACCTCGAGCTGGCGGAACGCGGCTCTATCTGCGATCCTATGGCTGCGGCCGCGGTCACCGTCGAGCGGCTGCGACCCGCCGACAGCTCGGTGAACACCATTCGCGCGGTTCCATGCGCCGCCACGGCCACCGCCGGCGTATTTCCGCCCCCGCCGCCGGAATTTACCACCGGGGTGCTGCCGGCTGGGATCTTCGGCAACATCTTCATCTCCGTGTCATTGCCACAGGATGCGTCGTCGGAGCGCTGCTATCCGGATCTCCTCGACATCCCCGTCCACGCGGTTAGCGGCGCTACGACCACCGTTACGAGCGGCGGCAAGGCCGCGGCTTTGCCGTCAGCAGCAGCGATCAACGTTTCCAGCTTCGCCACGCTGCCGCGTCGGGCCTTGCGCTCCACCGAGGTCGCCGCCGGCTCGCCTTACGACAATATGGGGCCGCGCATTACGGCAAACGGCAGTTCCGCGTTCTCATTAACGGACATAACGGACATGGATCTGCGGCTGTCGCCGCCACCACCGCCGCGGATCATTCAACCGCCGCATGAGTTCGTTTCTCTTTAAAACAGCGGACTCTCCTTTCCACATCGATCCGTATTGTCGCGTAATACTGATTTCGCAATCGATATAATATTTCGCTAATAGTGTTATCCTAATATACTGCCGAGCATCCATTAGCGGCCGTGTATTATTGGATAACATCAATTAGCGTCCGGTAATATTAATCGTGTCAGGAATCGCTCACGGATCGACTCTTTGAGAACGCACGCGTTCGCTTCGAACGAGTGATCCGTATACGCTCCCTCGGTGGAGTTCTAAAAACGCGTCGAATTATCCTATACATGTACTGATGTCGCAAATTTGACACTGACGTCGAATTAAGATCGTATTGATTGTATCGAAGAATTTTTATCCTAACATTATACGCGTTCGTTGGGTCATTTTGGACATTGCAAATTCTGCAGCCTCAAAATATCGCAACTCTGGACTGCCATTTATAAAATCAAAATTTTTAAATATCATTTATTTATCAAGTTAAGTTACATAATCTGTTAGCAATTAAAAGTTTTATCATTAAACGTTGAATATTATGTCGCTTTTTGTGTATCTAATCTCTATTTGTTATATAAAAAATGATATAAAACTCAATGAATAATCAATAATCAAATGCAGATAACTCGAATGTTTAAAGACATAAGAAGTGTCTTTAATATTTTTTCATCACAAAACACACACACATACACACACACATACATGCATGCACACATCTTCTGGACTTCCGCATTGCATTTAGAAAAATGTAATGAGTAGAGCATATCTCTAAGTGACTCTCAAGTATTTCATTATACATTGACAAGGATAATGTAAACAACTTCTAGGAAATGATCAACACGTGTTGATGTACAATGGGTGTTTTTTATTCATATAATTTATAGAGACAATTATTATGCATCAAAATTAATATGTACAATATAACGTATAATAATTTTCATAATGACAGTACGAGAGATTTAATTTATTTAATAATATAAACATAAAATTTAATAATATGAACATAAAAAGTTGGTTTATAATTTTAATTGCATTCTAAATATATTTGTATTTACGTCTACACTCGAAAGATGTATGATATTAATTTCGTAATTTAATAAATTTTAGGATTTTTTTAACGAATAAATCAAGATTATTTGCTTCTTATATAAATGTAATTATTGAGAAATTGATAGCAGCATCCTTATGGAAATATACTATTAATTAATAAGAGAAAACTATTGGAACAAATAATGTACAATAATCAATTCGAGTGTTTTTACAATTATTTTTCACCGTTGTTCGCAAGTTTAATAGTACTTCCATAATCATGATAACGATAGCGATAACAATAGGTCTGTTCTTCATTGTTGTATGAACTGTACTATAAAGTTTTCACCAAATTTCAAACATCTGTTTCATTTTAATTACATTAATTTAGCTATAAATAATAGATCGAATTATCATTATCAAATTGGTTTCTTTTTTCTTGCGTCATAGTCGTTTGCAATTGTTTACATCACAATGAATAGAAAGATTTTTTATTTTTATAATTTAGATCTTCTTTCCCCTTACCTTCATCTTCGCAATTAACATAATTAATTCTCGATTTGTGTCATCAATTACAAATGGAAAGCAAAATTAATGAAAAGTTCATAATTAACTTGGCTCAGCGAATGGAAAACACCCATTTTTGGTGGCCACTTCGCGAATCGCATGAATAGGTAGTTATCGGCGGATAGCCGGACACCTCTTGGGAAACAACGAGAATGTAGTCGTGATTAGACATCTCCCGCGGGTGCAGTTTAAGTCGACGTGGTTCTTTCCTTCGGCATGCAGCGCGTTTCCGACGAATGCGGAGAAAGCGCCAAGAGAGAAAATCGATAATCTCGCCGTGCCGCGGCCGGCGTATGTCACCGAGATCAGTATACGGAGCATTCGATCGAGAGACTGATATCGGCCACGATATTGTCCGACCCATCGAATATCTGTCTGTCTATGCTTGTCTGCCTGCCTTGCCCACTTGTCTGGCCAGCTGCCCGCGGCCGCTTGCGCCCATAATGAGTGTGTATGTACGAATGATGGATGGGTGCGTGAAGAACCTCTTAGATCTAAGTCTCTTTTAGTCTGCTAACAAATAACCCGTAAAATGAGGCGACTGTTTGTATATACACTTCACGACTACTTCTTCAAGACGAACGGACCTTTAATTGATTAGCGCGAGCAAACCGGCCGCGTCGCGTCTCATTATCTTCCCTTCCATCCATTCTCCAAAGTGTATCACTAGTTTGTTACGTATTCTCTACGTGTGTACATATTTGTTATTATATCACACACTCGTGTACACCTGCGACTTGAACGTTATGAGTGTCGCGTGCGCACGCCGGTGCGTTTATACACGGAGATATTCATTATGAACACTTTGTCAATTAATAAAATCATTGAATTTTACATACACATCGAGTCACTGTTTCGTATTGTCTTATTACGTTCGTTGTGGATTTTGTGAGAAAATGTGATGTACCGCGCGTATCGTATTATGTTCAGTCGAATTTGATTATAACATTCATCGGCGTGTAAATCGCATTTCTTTTTTTCAGAGGGAAAAAGTCACCGGAAGCATTGAAAATTGAAACAATATGGCATTGTTTTTCTGTACCCAATTTATACGCTAACAATAAAACGAAACTACGAGGATTGTTCTTTTCCTATAAGATTTTACCTGTAATATAATTGGCTATGACTTTCTCTATATTATGTATTAATCAGTGTTATATCAAATTTCAATTATTATTAATAATAGAATCTATTTGTAAATTGTTATATGTAATCAAATAATTATAAGGAACGCGTTATTTTTCATTGAATTTTCGAAATGTGTACGGTCGTCAAAAACAGATCACCAATTAGTTGAGCGTGTAAATCAAACTTTGATTTCTATTCTCTATTATTTTGATATAAAAACAAACGTTAAATTGGATCGAGTATTTCGGAATGAAAATCTGCTTAAAATAGCATGCCAAGTTACACCAAGATCGGTTGCTTCATCGGAGAATTGCTATTTCGTGACGATACTAGGCGAGAGGATTGCATGTAAGATTATAAACTGCAGTATTCAAGTGCAGATTATGTATTGTGTTGCATAATTTGCGTACAAAGTGCAAGGGTAAGATGGATCGCCTATGTAAATAGGGAAAACAATCAAAAGCATCGCACGTTACGTTTCTGACGTTTTTGACAGTAAGTTCCTTCTTTGTCTCAAGTCAACATCCGTCAAATCCGCGAGGCGCGAATCGTGATTAAGATGGCAAGCTACAGGAAACTCGTTGCGTCGTGTTCATTCTCGCGACCTAGTCTCGGAGTGTATCCTCCTTGACCTTGACTATTTCGAGAACCTGGAAAGAGATCAATCACATTGCAGAACGCGAAAAATCGCACGTGGACTGTCTTAAATTGCTCGCATTTAAGGATTAATGAAGCGCAGTGACGCTGTTCTTCATACGACGTGATTCTTCATGGAAAAGCGATTCGCATAATGTCAAAGAATGAATATGACGTCGTGTATAACAGTCGATATCTGTTCAACATACGCGACGTGCTCCAAGTATTCCGAGAGAATATTTAATTTAGCGAAAATATGATCAATACCTTCTGTAACATTTAAAGATGTTGGCGTTTATTATTGCGAACGTATTGTCAATGCTCTTTTGAACAATGCATTCTTAACATTATATAGGTTTTGAGATAAAATTGAAACATTTTCAATATTCCTTTTTTAACGAGTCAATCAATTTAAGGAACAATTGATTACTTTCATAAACTTTCGCAATCGCAAAATACGAGAATAAATCAATGGATTAACACTAGAAGTATCGACCAATCATTGGTAACAGTTTCTATGTTTTTTTTTAGATTAATAAATTTCTTGTAAAAAAATAGGATTCTGACCATTTTTAATTTTTCAATAATGTTTTTTATACTGATAAGATATTTTTATCATTTTCTTTAATGTACTGGTAATTTATTTGCTTAATCCTTTTTTAGTGAGAAACATTGATACTTCTAGTATTAATTAATATCATCGTAATAAAAGATAAAAATAGGATGCTTTTTTCATACCTCGCAAGATAGAGTAATACAATCGAGGATCGTCGATTTTTTGTGCAAAACGAAGGTCCTTGTATCCGTGTACATGATCGGGCATTAACCAGGCACCATCTTTCTGAATTTTATCAGCATGTTTGAACGATTTATCTGCGTAATCTGCACAAAAGAGTACAGTTAACAAATGATCCTGTAGATGGCAAAATGTATAATATTTATATACGTTTTATTGCATGCATTTCGTTTAAAAGCGACAAATGAATCCTGAGGCGGGGTCATCCGCAGAACGTCGTCCAAATTCACTCATTAAAAAAACTGCAAGCGCACGCCACATAATACAGCATTGTTTCGCACGAATGCAGACATTTGCGCTCGTATTTTTCCATAAATTTTATTCAATCCAATAAAAGCCGCTTTAATTAATAACGGCATCGCGGATATTGATCTGACGTGAAATGCGTTGAACGTTTATTGCAAGGTAACATCCGTACAGCCAACGTTTACATACTCAAATATTTTGCAATAATTGGATTATCAAACTTCCAATTTACTTCGAAAAGTTTTTCTGTCAATAACGTTATTAAAAATATTCTAATAAGTCGTAATAATTTATAAGAATTATTTATTTATAAGAATTATTTCTTTCCGATAGTCTTCTATGATTATAATATGAAATTATTCTTAAAGGTTTAGTGTACTCTTTAATATTCTAACATCATTTTTCTAAATTCTTCACACCTTCGTAATCAAGATTTAGGAGAACTTCAGGTTCTACGTCGCGTGGAATGTAGAACTCCATATCGATGTCAGCTGGTAAATCCTGAAATCGATTCAAATTACTCGATTCATCGGATCGTCCAATTCGGGGCTTATGTATTATTCCAAAAGCACGCTCCATTCTAGGAAGACTCGCTATTTCCGAATTTCGG